AATGTTAGCTCTAGAGTTTGGATTTTGTTTTGTTTTGTTATTTTCATTTTTAGTTAACAATGACTTCATTTAAAATGACTATTGCAATAGGGAGAATGCCCCCAACCATAATGCCTATGATTATCTAAATGGTCAGACAGGAAAGGTTTTTCTTTTACAGAGAGGAGTAAGGACGGCTAAAAAGGACCTAGAGTAGGGCAGTAAGACGAGCAGGTGGCATGATTGACAGATAGGCAGGTTGAACATGATTGAAAGATAAAACTCTTCCTTTGAGGTTTGGAAGGTTTGTAAAGGAGGAAGTGTTCCATAGTCCAATGGTTTCTTTTTTGTTTCTTATTTGATTTTTCCAGATGACTGTTATCAGTTTAAGAAGTTACCTTTAATACCAGGTTACTGAGGATTTTTGTCATAAAAATATTTTGAATCATCCAAATCTGTTTTCTGATTATGAGGAAATTGTGTGTATTTATTTTTATCTTTAGTCTCTTAATATGGAGACTAATTCTTAAATCTGGAGAAACAGGTGGATACAGAGTCACAGCTAAGATCTGCTCAGCAGGAACAGAAGCCACTGAAGTCATAAACTGGCAGGGTGACAAGCCCTGATGAGCGCCTCAAGGCAGCCAGGACGGTGTGAGAAGAGAAGGTCCTGAGGGCTGCAGCCCAAGGGGCACCTCATGCATTCATTGGCTTCTATCTCCAGGAACCCCACTAAAGTTTCCAGAGTAGAGCCAAGAGAGAATCCCTCCTGGTTTGGCAAAAGGTTGGAAAAAATAAGCATGGTGAAGTATGCCTGTGGCCTTCTCCATATCAAAGATATATTCCTCAGGCAAAAAGACTTTATTAGAGACACATTTCACCCGGAGGAAGGGCACGCTCCCCCACTAGCCTTCTCTAGGGTTCCTGTCTCATGTAAGGGGGAAAAATCTATGCCACAGGGAAACAGCTATGGCAGTCACAGCACAGACACACCACGGACTAAAAGACTGAGAATGAGTAATAAGATTATAGAACACTTTTCCCAACACTTTGGCACCACACCAACAGGGCTTCAGTAAAATAACAGAGTTACAGTGGAATGACTTGCAGGCAAAGATTTTCTCTGAAGGGTAGTAATTAGAGGATTCACAGTCAAAAGGGGAGGCTTAAATAAGGACATTAGAGGAATTGAAAGCCTCTGAGACTTATAGCTGCTATAAATAATGACACAAATGAACTCCTACATAGATCAACATAAATCCTCATGCTAATGGAATATTTATCTCAGTTTCTACTATCTAATGCAACATGTGTGGTAAGCAATAAAAAATTTAAAAAGAGTCCACAAGGCAAGACAGACATCATCTTAAGAGACAACATAAGGATCAGAACTAGACTCAGATGTGGCACAGATGTTGAAATTATCAGATAATTTAAAATAACTATAATTAATAAGTCATCTAACTAACTCCCGGTAAACTTTGCGGTGCTACTCCATCCAAGCACCTGTCCTCAGAGATCACAGCTGGCGCAAAAATACATAAAAAATAGTAATGGCTCATAATCCATGTAATAAAATGTAGATTGATATGGTACACCTTTGATTATGAACCTTATATAGTGTTCTGATCAAGAATGCTAACTTAAAGGTAATTGTGAGGAAAAAGTAGACAATCCCATATGAAGGAACATTTCCTTAAGTATCTACCCTATGTTCTTCAAAAATATCAATGTCATGCTTGACAAAAAGACTGAAGAACTGTTTCAGGCTATAAAAATATAAAGGAACATGACAAGTAAGCCCCTTATCTGATCCTGGACTGTATCTTATTCTGGAAGGGAGGAATGCTATAAATAAAGAACACTTATTGATTCAAATGAACAGAGAAAAGGATCATGTACAAAATTAGATGCAATTTAATGCCACTATTCATTTTCCTGTCTAAACTGTGGCAAAGGGTTCCAACATGGAGAATCAGGGTAAAGGTTATTTGAGAAGATTATTTCATAATCTTCTTATGACTTCTCTGTAAGTTTGAACTTATTTCAAAATAAAAGAATGTATATCCAAGTAAAATAAAATTATAACAAATAAACCACATGAAGTATGTAATAATTGCAAATTATATTTAAAATCATATTTAATATCAAATCAATATGCTCATAATTTAATGAAAAAGTGCTATTTTAATTCAAAGGTTTGAGACTTTATTGGCCCTATATGCTGAAAGTCAGTATTCCCTAACACAAACTACCTACTTGATTTTTATTTTGAAATTTGTTTATTTATTTGGCAAGATTCCAGTTGACTCATATTCATGAAAAAATAAACGAATATTTCAAGAATATTAATAATCATAGTAACAGCATTGTATAAATATTAATAATCTTATTTAATTCTGTATACCACAGTTCATATCATTAACTCTACATGTAAGAGATATCAAGTTTTATTAACTAAAATATTTTCTTGGGACTATGTAGTAGAAAAATGACATTTTTCTAACTATATCTCTAGTAGCCAAAATTATTTTGGAAGGACCTACCTGTAAGTTTTTAGCTGATGCTAATGCTGGTAAGATTGGCTAAAACAAACAAACAAATGAGCACATAAATAAAAACACTCGTCGCTTACAAATTCTTACAGCTGTATCTATAAAAATGACTTCAGTTTTATTGCTTCTACAATGAGGGATTTTAACAGATCACCAATAAGATTTGTTTTGCTTTTCATTTGAGATGACTCCTGCTGCATAGCAAAGTTCTCAAAGTATGTTGTGCATCTAAATCACTAAGTTGATTGAGTAAATGCACATTTTCTAACTTCACCAGAGATGCTGTAAGTCAAAGAAGTCATAAAGAAGGCTTTATGGGATTCTTTACTTTTAGCCAAATGCCCAAATGATTATTACACAGTATACTATAAAGTTTTGTTACCAATACTTAAGTACTTCTGATAAAAGGCTGCATCGTGTCTTTCATAGTATATTTCAGAATGTTTTCTGGGACCTACATTGGAAATAGGTGCTTCCTGCCTATAGCAAAAAACACTGATTATAACACTAATGGTCTGAAGAGATAATTACTTAATAAGGTTATTCAGAAAATATTTAAGATGTTTTCCTTTGGGGAATTCTAAGGTATTAACCAAGTGCCTTACAAAATAATTTATTGTGGGCCCTTTGGGTACAGAAGGTTTCAAATGGGGTCAAATTTGAAATAAAAGAAAGGCAAATTACTTTCCTGGTTTTAATATGTGTCCTTCCATGTGAAGAAACTACCACAGCTTCGCAGAGATCTTTGGGTCCCTTATCAGAAGCCTAGACATGCAACTATATGTTGTGAATATAGAGAGTTTACAAAAGAAGCCAGATGTTCTGTTTTAATTTCAGACCATCAACTGGTACATTGAACTTTTTCTTTTGGGAGAAAAATTTACACCCTCATGTGGATTTGGGATTATCTCCTTAAGTACAACTGGTAAATCATCCTCTGTCCAGGTGTGAAGAAAATTGTCTATATTTTAAGGTATGAATTTCAAATTTCTACTGTAAATTGTTAGAATACTCTGTTCCAAAAAATTTTTTTAAGTCTTGCAGATATTAAGGAAATTTAGGGTAACACCAAAAATGATGAAATTTAATGGCCATTTTTTCTACCCTCCTTCCTTTGTGTTCTTCTTTGTGTATTTCTCCAGATTGATTACTGGAACAGGCTAATAAATGTCTTAAGATTTCTTTTGTCACTCTATTACACATTCTCCAAGTTCACCACATACAGCTTCTCTGCACATGTCCATTGCCTTTATTTTTTGAGCTGTATTTCTTAAAGTGTCCTCTCTGTAGGTCTTTGTCCTGGAAACTACTTTTTATTTCATTGTCAGCCTCCAGCTCACCCACATGGTTAATCTCTAAGATTAACCTTTTTTCACCTGGTTAATCTCTAAGATAACACTTTTTTGTTATCTTATACCTGTCACTATCTTAGTTTTATGTTGTTTATTGATTTATTTTTCTTTATTGTCTGCCTCCTTCCAATAAGAACAAGCTTCCATATTTTACTTTTTAATCTCTCCTATATAGTGTGATGTCTGATACATAAGGAATACTTTCTGTTAAAGAAAAAATAAATAGCTCTGCACTTGTAATTAATAATCTAGGAAAATATTTTGAACACTGAAAGAAGATATTTGATAATATTAAAAATGAATTACAGACAACATAACATGATAAAAATAAAATATAAAATATTCATTCAGAATTGGAAAGGCATTTGTCATGGTGCCCTCTCAAGAGTCCTTGATAGACAAACCAACCGCCAGGAAGCCCTCCTGATGATGTGGCTCTAGTGCACATTGTGTGCATTCAAAGAACATGAAAGTTTGCTAAATGCTTCCTTTTTTTTATTCCCATAGTAAATGAGGCATTTACTATGTTAGGATTTCATGACTTCAAGATAAGACAAACATTTAACAACAAATCCTTGTTCATATTACCTTGCTTATGACCTCAGGAATAGAGAAAGTTATTTTCCAATGTTGTATTATTTAATACAAGTGTGTGTGAGTTCATGATTGCAATGACATATGAGAACTGTTATTTTGCACCTATGTAGAGCATTACGAATACTAACACGATCTAAAGACATGAGACTTTGGATTGTTTCTCTGAAAGCAAAGGGTATGTTATGAAGCAAGGCACCACAATAGTTTGGTGCAAATGCCCAGTGGACTGGGCAAAACTCTGTGTTTAGTCAAGTTATATCTATCTTTTAACAAATTACGTTTAAGCCTATAGGATCAGGTGAAACTCTTACAGAGACTAATTGACTTCATACATTATTCATGGAATTGTTTTATCTTAAAAAAAGAATAATTTTCAAGTAAATGCAGAAGTATTTAAGGTGAGTACATGATTCTTTCAGCTGAATGCTTCTGTATGTCAATATGATTCTTGTTAGACTATACACATAAATTTTTCTCTTTTTGTGTGTGTGTGTGTATCTCCTCACCTTGACAGACTATGAAGAGAGGCGAGTATGGCCAATGTCACCTTGGTGACAGGATTCCTTCTTGTGGGGTTTTCTAACATCCAGGAGCTGCAGATTTTATATGGTGTGCTCTTCCTAGTGGTTTACCTGGCAGTCCTAATGAGTAACCTTATCGTCATCACTCTTATTACACTAGACCTGCAACTCAAGACACCCATGCACTTCTTCCTGAAGAACTTGTCCTTGTTAGATGTCTTCCTTGTGTCTGTCCCAATCCCAAAATTCATCATCAACAGCTTAAGCCACAACAATTCCATTTCCATTCTAGGATGTGCCTTCCATCTACTTTTAATGACTTCCTTCTCAGAGGGTGAGATATTTGTCCTTACTGCCATGTCCTATGACCGGTATGTAGACATCTGCTGTCCCCTGCACTATGAGGTCACCATGAATGATGGTGCTTGTCTGCTGATGGCAAGTGCTTCCTGGGCCATCGGAGGACTCTTTGGAGCTATGTATACAGCCAGCACATTTTCCATGCCTTTCTGTGGCTCCAGTGTGATCCTACAGTTTTTCTGTGATATCCCTTCATTACTGAGGATTTCCTGCTCTCAAACACTCATGGTAATTTATATAAGTATTGGAATTGGTACATGTTTAGGCATGTCTTGTTTCATCTGTATTGTGATCTCTTACATTTATATTTTCTCCACTGTGCTGAAGATTCCTACCACTAAAGGTCAGTCAAAAGCTTTTTCCACATGTCTCCCCCATCTTGTTGTTTTCACTGTTTTTATCATAACTGCTTGTTTTGTTTATCTCAAGCCACCTTCAAATATACCATCTGTCATTGACAGACTGCTTTCTGTGATTACACTGTGATACCTCCAATAATTAATACTGTAATCTACAGCCTGAGGAACAATGACATGAAACGGGCTCTAATAAGATTGGTGCGAAAAATGTGTGGTCAAGAGGCTCACCTCATCTAGCATTTCTAAGTGTCTGTCAATGATATAGTACCTTACATACCACAAGGAATTTTTCTTAATTTTAACTTCGGAATAACCAGACAGAAAAAAGCAACACACTCATGTTTGGCCCTGATGAAATGAACACTGAAAAGCCTAATTGCTTCTAAGGTCAGATACTTGCATTACATCAGGATGACACATAGATGCCATGGTATTAATTTGGTGTTCTTCTATGATAAAGTATCTCTCCCTTTGTGGTATAGCTTTCTGAAAGAATCAGTTCTGTTCTTCATAAGTTTTTTTTTTATTTTTGACCATTTAACAACTCATTTTCTCTATTTTTTTCACTGAAAACAAACAAAAAATACCGAGGTGGTTTGATGGATATAGTACCACGCATTTGAGCTACCAAGACAAAATTCACACACGACTTCTCCGAGTGTCTATCTAGCGCTAAGGCAGAACGATAGTGGGCAGAGACAACACAGCAGACTAAGGCCACTCTGGGTGTGTGCCCAGGTCCACAAACAGTCCTCAGTGACATCTGATGCAGAGACAAAACCATGGAGGAAGACACACCTGAGCCGAGTTCTCAAGGCAAATTGTGGTCACTCAGGTAAATAGTGTTTCTGGAAAAACACTAGGCAGAGTTCTGGAGCTCTAAGAACTGGGTGTGTCTGTGTCTACATGTCTGTAATTCAGAAAGAAAACCTCTCCCTATGTGAAAAATAATGTTTTTAATCTGAGTCTACAAAGAAACTTTGAAATGTGTTAAAATTGTTACAGAAGTCACTAAGTTGTGACAGGCTGCCTTTGGTTTATCCACTAGTGCCTACAATTTAAGAAGTTTTTCAATATCTTCTATGAAATCTATCTAGAGCAGGGGTCCCCAACCTATGGCCCACGGGCCACATGCAGCCCACCAAGGACATTTATCTGGCCCACTGGGTGTTTTTGCCACCGCTGCCTGTCCTGCTTAGCAGCTGACTGGTCCCGGGCCCACAGTGTGCACTCTCCAATGGTCTGAGGGACAGTGAACTGGCCCCCTGTTTAAAAGTTTGAGGACCCCTGAGAGATTATATGTCTTATCAGAATAACTTTCTGAATTTAACAATTAATTTGTTATGGTCTTTATTACCTAACAAAAGATACATGGGTTTCAAAAATTTTTCAATGATATTATGCTCTTTTTCAATCATGTTACCAATATTTTGTTGTCACTTGAATTAATTAGATGGCCAGGTTTTATTTCTCAGTCACATGTGATCTTATTTACTCATGTCTCAAATATTTTCTGGCAATTATTTTGATTTTTACCACAACAAAATCAGATTGTAAGAAAATGTAAATTACATTAAATTAAATTAAACTTTCATAGTATCTCTTACACATAAAATTTTCTTTAATTTTTCTTTGAGGGAAATCTACATTAGAAAACCTATAAGAAGACTGCTCTGAGACAACTTTTATTGCTTAAGAGACATTTTATGTGCATAAGTCCACCTGCATGCACCATGCATTTCCTCACCAACCCTCCCATAGCTTGACAACACCACGCTCCAGAAGCTCCAAGCCTTGAATTCTTTCTATAGCCCAGGGTGCTGTATAAGCTTCAATCACAGGGCCCTGATTTGTCATATTTTGTGAGACTTTCCTGTGTAAGTGCATAATTCAATGTTTTTTCCTATGTTTGTCTTGTGTCAATTTAATTTGTAGTCAAGTCAAAGAACCTAGAAGGGTGGAGGAAAGCTATTTTCTGTCCTATACAAACACATCAATGGTGAAACACCTTAAATTAAAATTCAGTTGTCTAGAACAATTTGTAAGCTTGCAAGTGATTGGATATAAAAAATTTTCTAGAGTTCAGGAAATAGTTCTCTATATAAATCACAGCATGTATTTTCATGTTTCTTCTAGTTCTACCCTAGCGCAAACCTCCTAAGACCACTAGGGGCATACCTGTAGTCTAGCAAAGTCAGGTTTACTGACTCATTGCAACTAGGGAGGCTGCAAACCACGTGGATCATGGGATGCTTCATTAAACTAAGTAAAGACAGAGTCATTTTAGATTGAGGGATGGGTGAAGTTGAGGTGAAATTTAAAGGAAGTGGTGTTTTTACAGCAAAGCAAGCAAGCAAAGCAAGTTTCCTTATAAAGGGTCAACATCAGATCTGGACACAAATGTTTCCTCCAAAACAATAAAATTAAGATAAATGAGGAATTTTGTGTCCAGAAACCTTTTATCTGAAGCTTTGCTGTGGGGTGGAAAGTGAGGTTGTATGTTTCTGTAACAGTAAATTAGGTACTAGAAAAGGTGAGATATTTCATTCTTATCCATATAATTTAAAACACAAAGTTTCTGATATCCATGATTTTAAAGAAGAACATTTCTCAGTGAGAAAATAGTAATCACTAAAATAAGGCAGAAATTATGACACTTTACAACTGCAACATGTCCTGGGTAGAATTGTTTCCTGTTACATTTATAACAGGCTTTTTTCCTCCCCTCCTTCTTTAGTCTGATGAATAGCCAGGCAGATTTTAATTTTTTTATTTAGAGCTAATTTTTAATTTCTAGTCACATCATGCTTTATATTACTTAATTATGTTTAGTTAAAGTCATTAGTTTAATTTTATTCTGTTACTTGTTTTAATGACTTTTTGTGTGTTTTTATTTGTTTTTTTTGTGTTTTTGGTTTTTTAATTTATTTTTATTTCAGGGTATGATGAGGGTACAAACATTTTGGCTACGTTTTTTGACTTTGCCTCAGCCAAGTGAGGATTAGAGGCATGCCCTTCCCCTCTACAATGCTCACCTTGCCCTTTAGTTGTGAGTTTACCACCCCTCCCAACCCCTTAATCCCTGGAGAATATCACTACCATGTGAGCACCATAGCGTTGATCAGTTTGTGCCAATTTGATGGAGAGTATAAGTGGAGCCTATTCTTCTAATCTTGTGATACCTCACTTTGGATAATGGGCTCAAGCTCTATCCAGGAGAACATAAGAGGTGCTAGATCACCATCATTTCTTATAATTGAGTAATATTCCATTGTAAACATATACCAAATTTTAATAGTCCACTCATGGATTGACAGGCACTTGGGTTGTTTCCACGTCCTTGCAATAGTGAATTGTGTTGCTATAAACATTCGGGTACAGATGTCTTTATTATAGAATGTCTTCTGCTCTTTTGCGTAGATTCCTCATAGTGCTTTTGCTGGATCGAATGGTATTTCTATTTTTAGCTCTTTGAGGTATCTCCAAATTCTTTCTCACAGAGGTTGTACTAACTTGCAGCCCCACCAGCATTGTAAGAGTGTTCTTGCCTCTCTACATCCACACCAGCATTTATTGTTTTGGGATTTTTTGATAGAGGCCAATTTCACTGGGGTTAGGTGATATCTCATTGTGGTTTTGATTTGCATTTCTCTAATGATTAGAGATGTTGAGCATTTTTTATATGTTTGCTGGCCTTTATTCTATCTTCTTTTGAAAATTTTTTGTTCATTTTCTTTGCCCATTTATTGATGGGGTTGTTTGATTTTTTCTTGTTGATCTTTTAAAGTTCTAGATAGATTCTTGTTATCAGTCCTTTATCGGATGTGTAGAGAACAAATATTTTTTTCCCATTGTGTAGGCTATTGACTCAAATGATAGTACTTTTGGCTGTGCAAAAGTAAAGAGCTAAATTTTTAAATCTAATCACAAAGTAGAACACATAATAGAAAGATATATTTCTTTCTACCCAAAAGATCAAAAGATATTCTATAATAAAGACATCTGCACCCTAATGTTTATGGCAGCTCAATTTACTATTGCAAGGATGTGGAAAAACCCAAGTACCAATCAATTCATCAGTGGATTATTAAAATTTGGGATATGTATATAATAGAATATTACTCAATTGTAAGAAACGACGGTGATCTAGCACCTCTTACATTTTCCTGGATAGAGCTTGAGCCCATTATCCAAAGTGAGGTATCACAAGATCAGAAGAATAGGCTCCACTTGTACTCACCATCAAATTGGTACTGACTGATTAACACTATGGTGCTCACATGGTTGTAATGTTCTCCAGGGATTAGGGGGTTGGGGGCGGTAAACTCACAACTAAAGGATATAGTGAACATGGTAGAAGGGAAAGGCATGCCTCTAACCCTTGCTTCGGTGAGGCAAAGACATAAAATGTAACCAAAATATTTATACCCTCATAACACCCTGAAATAAAAGAAAGAAAGAAAGAAATTTTAATAATTTATTATTAAATTTACATAACCACATAAATACAATTTAATTGTAATGTGGGTAGGTTTTTTAATACTAAAAAGATACTTTCAGAATAAAACACACTAAATTTAAAGAAAAAAAAGAAAAATATTTTTATGGACAAAAGAAACAGGAAAAAATGTTAATGAGAAATGTAATAGAATTAGTTCCATCAATATAAAATTTCCAGTACATCCAAAATTATAAAAACAAAATGAGACAGAAAGCTAAAATACTATACATAAGGTATTTACTGTCTTATATTTGCTAGGATTTTTTTAGGCAGTTGAGATACTTAGTGAACAAATAGAATAAAGATCCCCAAATGCATAGGCTTCATTTTATTGGAAGATTTTCAATAAGTACTATTTCAAAAGTTTCATATAATAAAATATACATTAGTTAGGCATGTATACAATTTTTATATAACATAATTTTAGTTGGAATTTTAAATTAAATTATTTAATTGAAAAATTTTAAATTAAATTAATTGAAAAAAATTTAAATTAAATTAATTTTAAAATGTTAAATTAAAATTATAAATTAAAATGTTTAATTTAAAGAGTTTTAATTAAAATATTATAATTTATTATGATAAATTGATATTTAAAGAATATGAATATTATTCAATGAATAATTTCTTCTTTATCACCCAATAAATAGATAAATAATTCATACATTTGATGCTTATCTTCTCCCTCCCGTCCAGAGAAGTATGCTGAGTTTGGACTTAAGTATTTCTATGTGTTTCTTTATACTTCTATGACATTGTAAGTTTTCTTAAAATATGTAGTATAGTTTATGTATGTTCAACTTAAAT